CCTAAACCCTAAATCCAAACTCCTAAACCCTAAACCCTGAATGAGTTCTACCTTCTGACCCACGCCAAGTCAGCTGCCAGGGCGGAGCCCAAACTTCGATGGCAGCGATGTCGAGTCAGACTCAGGCGTCCAAGCTCTTACACCAGGGCCTTAGGGATACGATTTAGGGAGTAGGATTTAGGGATTTAGGATTAGGGCTTAGGAGTTGGGGCTTAGGGATTACGATTTCAGTTTGAGGCTCTTGCAAGGCAGTTAAGCTCCAAGTTTAAGAGGTGTACGCCTGCGTATGACAAACTTTGGGCTGAATTGGGTTTCTAAATAGATACTTTCGGCGCTGACTATATATGTACACACATATATATATATATACATGTTTGAAATGGATTCGTGGACCCCAAGAAAGTCTATTAGCCGAAAGGTCCAGGTACCCAAACGATATTCAGGGCTTCGGATTTTGCGGTGTAGGGTTTAGGGTGTAGGGGTAGAACGCCGCAGTATAGAACGCCGCAGTACTCATGGGGCGTCAGGCATCAAAGGTACTTGTATTCATCGTTTTACTAGCCGAGCAGATGCATATTGTACATGGTTTGGATCCAGAATCCTACCATATGAAGCCTGAGGGTGCAGATTTCCGGGTTTGTTAAGGGGTTCAATTGAAGTTTCTATATTGGGGATACTATGATAAATATGATATATACCCATCATGGTAACTTAAGTTAAGTTCCTTAACAGCAACCCAGGTTTCCGAGGTGAATGTATAATCTCACGTAGCCATGTGAGTGCTGTGTTTTCTTCATCCTTCTTTGCTGACTTACAACCGGCAAGTAAGCTCACCCACGATTATGCCTAAGTATTCCTAGATACCTCGCTAAAGCCACTACACTATATAGGGGTCCTACACCCTATGCACTCGCTACATCCCCACATAAGCCTATAAAGCTCCCGAAAGACATACCCATACAACATGACCCCTGCATGGTAATATATTAGCGTACCATAGCCCCTATACACAAAACCCAAAGCATTCAAGTGCTCAATAATCACATACTTCCCAAAAACCATACTAAGGTTACTGGCACCAACCTCACAAGTACCCAATTTTTGGGCACAAGGGCCCGTAGGGCTGTATTGCATATGTAATTCGGTACATCATCCGAGTTTCCGTGCCATATTTTTCTTTTCCACTTGATTCACCACTATTGAGACAAGCATCCCTAAGCCCCACTTGACCCTTTTGGAAAACGCTGCGAGGCAGCGAGGAGGGTTCGTTGACGTCCACCGACACGTCTCCGAGCTCCGAAGCCCGTGGCGCTGCAGGTCGCACATAGTCCTTTCCTTCTTGAATGGCATATGAGCTACAGTCTAAAATCCTTAAAGGGGGGTTATATAAGGAACTACTCTAGGGGTTATTAGGGGGGATACTAGGAGTTTAGATTATAGCTCATATGGGGATATGTAGGGCTTAGGGCTTAAGTTTTATGGCTTATCATGTATCATTTAGGATTGAGGTTTCTGTGTTTAGGCCTTTGGGTTTAGGATTACTACGTGGCATTTTGGACTTCCAATAACCGATTGTTGTACGGGAACTTACTCATGGATAATTTCAGGGCCCTTAAGCCGCAGTAGATGTTGCTGGTTTTGTAGGATATACTGACATACATACATGTACATATGGGAAGATAGGGATATATGCACATATAGACCTTTGAGAGACATTTGGGGCATATAGACATTCTGGGTATGCAGGGAGAAATAGGGATGTACAGGAATGGTCTTAGAGAGATCTTGATTTAGGGTTTGGGGGGTTAGGTCAGGTGTGAAGGTTCAGGGTCTAGCACCGAGAGTTTAGGGCCGATGGATGTTGATTTCCAGTTATGGGGTCTCCTAGCCCCAAACCCCCCTCCCTAAACCCTAAACCCTAAACCCTCAAGCCCGTACTTCTCAACCCCAGCTTCCCCCTGAATAATTTGAACCTTAGTGCATCCCAGATAGGCCGAATTAGGGGGGGAACCTGAGGGAGGTGGTGGTTAGGTAGCCCATCCTAAGCCAAAATACCAAAAACACTGTACACATTAAACCCTAAACCCTAAACCCCAAAACCTTAGCCCTAAACCCTAAACCTTAGCCCTAAGTGCAAAAATTTTGTCAGGTGAGGCACTAAGGGCGGAGTGGTCAGGGTTTGGGGTCTTTGGAGCAGTAAAGGGAAAACAACATGCAACATGGAACGCAAGTTGGAGTTACTTGTATGTAACGTTCTGTTAGTGTTCCGAGTTTTGGGTCAGGATTTTGAGTTGAAGGTTCAGAGCTCAGTGGTGGGGGGTGTGCACGAAAGTGCGTGCCTTGGCGTTGGTAGATCATTGGGATGGGGATGTACTGTACCTGGCCCCCCCCCCAAATTAGGTAAAGTAATAGCCTAGAACCCCTAAACATAGGCCCAAAGGCAATTATTCTACATGTTTTTGTGGGTTCTGCTAGTTAGGGAAGATCTCTGGTTTGCCAGGTTTGGGGGCAAGAATTGGCAGGCTGCCATGCCAACCCATGTATACCTCCCCAAACCCTAAAACCTAAACTCAAAACCTTAAAGCCCAAACCTCAAGCCCTAAACCCCAAGCCCTAAAATCTGAACCCTCAACCCTAAAGCCTAAAACCTAAGCCCGCAATCCTGAACCTGAACCCTTTCCACAAGAGCGGTCGTCTTTATGAGACATTTTTGGGCTTTCAGATTGGTGTGGCGGCGCGGATGCGTCTTCAAGTCCAAGTCAACACGGTTTAGGGTTCAAGGTTTAGGGAACGCCCTTTAAACTATTGGCTCGCGGAATGCTGATGGAAAGCGTCAAGCTCAGGGTTTGCAGGTCCCATGTGAGCTATATAGTCTAAACTCCTCAAATAGGCGAAACACGGGGAAAAAAGGGGATTACTATTGAGGCTATTAAGGGGGATACTAGGAGTTTAGACAATGGCTCATGTTATTCCAGGTGTAAGGGCGGAAGTCTGTCGGTTTTGCCTGCATCGGCTTGTAGTTGGCCACAGGGTTTGACTGAAACGAGATTCCTGACCTTCAATGGCTCAGAACGCCGGATCTGAGACCCAGCCCCAAACACTTCCCTCAGCACGACGAAGCCTCGCAAGATCCTTTGGAACATTGGCTCTAAATCTCAAAGGCTCAAAGGCTCTTTGACCCTTACCCTAAGGGTCCAAGTAAGTAAATCATATGTATTGTTTTGGCCAAAGTACCTATAGTAACCCATTTGGGCCCAAAGTATCTACTATTTAGGTACTTGGACCCTTACGATTAAGCTTGGAAAGCTCCACCCTAACCCTATAAACCCACAACCCTTAATCCTAAACCGTATAAACCCTAAACCCTGTACACTGGCATCAGATGCGGCACTTCGCTGCGATGTAAGCACGGAGGAGCGTAGAGGGGCGGGTTGCTGTGAGGAAACTCATTTCAAGTTGCCATGTGCGGTAAAGGGTTTAGGGTTTAGGGCATTCTGGGTGTGTGTATATATATATATACACACATGAAGGAACGTAATTTAAGTTTACATATTAGGGGTAAGTAGTAGATAATAGGGTTTCCTCGTTATGGTAACTTGGCTTATGTTCCTGCACAGCAAACTGGCACGGGGACGGCTTGTGGCTTTGTAAGGGAGGGGGAAGCTTGATGTTTGGGTCGGTTGAGCGTTACTCTGGGTTGCATTTGAGGAATTAGATCTAATGTACTATATTGGGGAAACCATATTAACTACGACATATACACATCATGGTAACTTAAATTCAATTCCTTAACAGAAGCACAGCACTGGCTTAGGGGCGTTCAGGGCGTTATGTGTTTTCCAGACTGAAGGTTTGAGGGTCTGGCGGTTGGGGTCTGAATTGTCTGGCCTCCTGGATAGCGGTTAAATCAATCGCACGTGTTTTTGAACCTTTTGTTTCGGAAGGAAACGCGCTTTAGGCCTTGCGTACGTCGGGATTTCTGAGCTTGACAGAGTAAACCATCCACGTTCTGGACGTGCTCAATCTGTTTATGTAAGGCAGGCTTCTCAATGAATTATCCAGGTCGCTTGAGAGGAACTGTCCTAGCCAAAGCTGACCTCCTTCATAGTTCCTCTCGAAAATGCGAACATGCAAGCCAGGGATTTCAAGGAAGGTCGTTGGTAGCTATTCAGATTATTGCCTTAAAGAAGCACTGCTTCTTCCGTCCCTTGACAAAAATCTACATCTCACATCATGTTATGCCATATGCCTCAAGCTTAAGAAGGCTTACAACTTAAGGCACAAGCCTATGCTTTATGCCTTGCTCGAGATGCAGGGCCCAGGCAGGAGGACCTCAAGGTCTTGGCTGACACATCAATTCAACTGTCTCCATTAGGAGGACCCCCCACCCTGTAATAGTGGAATAATAGGAATATAAGTGGACCCTAATATAATCCTTACTATTCCTAATAGCACTATTACTGGGTGGGGGGTCCACCTAATGTCTCCAGCTCAAGTTTAAGTGTGAGGTTGCTTTTTCTTTCCCTTGAGCTGTGGCTCAAGGCAGCCCCCTAAACCCTGAACCCTAGGAGCTTTGCCTGAAAGCGAATCTCGGGATAGAAAGAGGGTCCCACATGAAGGATTCTGCACCCTCAGGCCTGCGGTTGTGTTGACAAAGCTCCTATATAACATCTAGGTTTTAGGGTGTAGGGTTTAGTGTTTGGTGTGTAGGTTTAGGGTGTAGGCTTTAGGGTGCAGGTTTTAGGATTCAGGGTTTAGGGTGTAGGTTTTAGGGTTTAGGGTGCAGGTTTTCGGGTTTAGGATTTAGGGTGTAGGTTTTAGGGTTGAGCAAGTCCCATGTGACGCAGAGGAGCCCATGCACCCCGCTGAAGTTCTGAGCCTGCTCCAGGACCGTCCTGGTGCTGAAGGTTTCACATTGTACATGCCTTAGGTGGACCCCCCACCCAGTAATAGTGACTATACGGGATAAAAACGTTTTATATTAGGGTCCTATTATAGTCCTATGATACCACTATTACAGGGTGGGGGGTCCTCCTAATACATACCCCTCATACGTTTCAGGCTGTCGTGTAGGGGTTAGGAAAGTCTAATCCTGGGTTAAGGCCTGAATGACGGGCTAGCAAGGATAAACAAGTCCACCTGGCTTTCAAGGATTCAGGAGTTGCACTTGTTCGGTAGAGTGTTGCGACCCAAGGCAGAAGAGCTCAGGAATTCTGAGTGGTGTCTTTGTACTTTGACCCTAAACCCCAACTCCTAAACCCAGAATCCTAAACCTTAAGCCCTAAATCCTAAACCCTAATACCTTTAGTTGGGTAGTTTCCTGGGCCCCGGGCTTTCCGGGATCACCCGAGGGGCTGGACCTAATACTTGGAACTCCCAAATACCCATGATAGGAGTCCTAAACCCCAAAATGTTGTATAAGTGTGCTATTATTCTGTTTGTTGGTATTGCTATTATTAGGATATTTATTGTTATCTTTACTCTTATCGTTTTTTTGATTCTGACGGTTGTTTAAGAGGTTCAGGTAAAGCTGACTCTGTGCAGCCTCCCACCCCAGCTCATTCGCCGATTTTGTAGCTTGGGAACCCTACCTGTAACCCCAATTAGCTGTAGCGTTATAGGTGAACACTAAACCCTAAGGGTGTAATTACTATTATACAGTAGGTAATTGGGGTTACAGGTAAGCCCCACACCCTGAACCCTACCCTAAACTTTAAGGCTCAACCCTCAACCCTAACCTCTGCACGTTTGAAGCAGGGAGGGCAAGATGTGGGGGATGCCTTTAGGGTTTAGGGCCATTTTTGGGGCCAATGATTTGTTGTAGCATGGTCTCGTACAACACGAACCTTGCCATTGGACCCTTCATTGTGTGGCATGTCTAGACGTTGCCATTCCAAACACCACGGGTATATAGGCTATGTACTGTTACGGACACTGGGAAGGTCTAGGTAAGCCTATAGCCTATGATCCCTTAACCCTAAGTCCATATCATATCCCACTTACAGATCCTGTGGAGCCAATTTTCTGGTCAGCCGCCTGGCCTTGAATATCAGCAACCGCCCAAGCATGAATCCTTGGAAAGGGGTTTGATATAGGGGCCGATATGATTACCAACATTATGGTTATCATGGCTCCATATCCCTTATACATTTTTGGTCTATGGTACCTCAGTTGGACTTAAAAATGAGATTGGTAGTTAGTTCGGCCCCTGTAGTAAGGTTTAGGGCCCCTGCTTCCCCTAAGTGTCCGAATACTCACATGTCCCGCATGCCATACTTTGGATGGCTTTTTGGTGCCTGACGCCCTAGTGTTTCTAGCTTCGGCGCTAAAGCCCTAAACCTTGCCACTCCCCTTTTTTTTCTGCGAATGTAACCCTAGGGATCCAAGAACGAACTACTCACACACATCATACATCCCCAAAAAACCTGCATTACTAGTATCAAAACCCCAAGTACCCAAGTTTTGGGTATCCATGGACTTGTAGATGTAGAAGAGAAGTGGAGCAGGGTCGTGTACTGTAAATGACCTCAAGAATCAAACATCAAATGGACGAGGAAATTTAGAATGAAATGGGCGCCGGGCTTACAGAAAGCTTATGGGGACTGTGATGTCGAAGTTTGACCAGTTGAAATATGCATACCCCAAAGCGCTATCCTAATGCTTTCGCCCTAAACCCTAAACCCTAAATCTTAAACCCTAAAAACAAATTAAACCCTATGCAGTCCATCCCTATACCCCCTTTAAAGGAACCCAAATATAACCAAATGGTGGCAGCTGCCAGACTTCAACGTACAGGAAGGGAACGAGCGCTTCGTAAAGGGGACTTCGCTGGCTGTTCGCCGCATGGCTTGAATGAGCCGGGTCAATTATGGGTAGCGTGTTATTTGGGGGTACCATAGTAGTGAGATCATATCCTCCGTTTGGCTATTGCACTGTGTAATTAAGGCCAACAAGAAACGCGACTCACATGGAGCTGGCAGGGACGGTAGGAATATAGACTTGTTGCATGCGTACAGCATGTATTGTTTGAAATAGACATGATGGGACACCAATTTTGGGGCGTGGTTGTTTCAACTCTCAAGCTAGCCTTTGCTGTGAGAAGGTCATCTTAAAAGTGCTCAAGATCCTAAACCCAAAGCCCTGAGTTTGCTCCAATCTTTAGGCTTGAGGGGATGGGGCATGGGCCGGTGAGCGAGCTAAGGTCTCAGACTGCAGGAGTAGCTTTAAAATCAGAAGTGTCGCGCATCCCGCACAATTTGCTAATCAAATCAAAAGTGAGAACTGGCAACAAAACTATACAAATTCTGACATCCAGCTCATGCATATGGTTAATGGACGAAACCCCTGTACTGAGAATGAGGGTAACTTACTGTGAAACTTGGGCATATGAGCCGAAGTCCAATCCCAAGGGTCCAAGTACCTAAGCATGGTATGAGTACCTAAAAGTTGTACCAAAATTACTATACTGCAGCTACCCAAATCCCGTATCCCAAATACTATTGAGTACTTTGAGTCTTTGGGCAAGGATTCCGGACTCAGACGTTAGAGTCTAACTTTACCCTAAGGGTCCAAGGACCCAAATAATAGGGTTTTAGGGCCCAAATACTATAACATTAATGGTATTTGGGCCCCAACACTCCCATTATTTGGGTCCTTGGACCTTTATATAATCCCTATATATCCCTATGTATCCCCCTATAACCCCTTCAAAGGGGCCCTATTATTTGGGTCCTTGGACCCTTAGGGTTAGAGCCCCGCAGCAACCTCGAGTCCTTATCCTTGCGCAGTCGAAAAGAGAATTTACAGCAACAGCACCATAGGGTTTGGGGTTTAGGGTTTAGGGTTTAGGAGCAGCAAATTACCTAGACCGTTAAGACCCCCCAAATACCCATCATGCGAGCACATATACCCATCGTTTTGCTTGTTCCCGGCAATTCTTATGTGTAGGGTTTATCTCGGGTTTCAGGGTCTTAGGAGGTATCTCCAGGAAACAAGCATGTGTGTAGCTTTCCATATGCTACGCAGGACTTGTATGCTTCCTGTTCTTCCCTTGTAAGCTTACAGTGCGATTACCCTCCTGAACCCCACCGAGAAAGTATAGGTTGTCAGAAAAGCTAAGCGCCCCAAAACCCTTAAACCCCAGACCCTTAAACCCTAAACTCTATGAGCCTTATGAATGATGCCTTCACCCCTCTCACAACCGCTATGAGTGTCTAGGATCCTTCGGGGTCCCCCTTTTCTGTGCTGCTGTTAAGGAATACAAGTTACGTTACCAAAATGAGGCAACCCTATTATTTACTCCTGAGGGTCCAAGTACCCCAAATATTGGGGTTTTAGTATTGGGTACTTGGACCCTCTACGTACCATATATCCCGAATATGGTTACGTAAGTTCCCTGGCAGCAACCCAGTTTTTGAATGATGTCCCCTGTTGGCCAGAGCCCGCTCTTCGCATTCAGGACGGAACGATGTCGTTCGGCGGGAGTCCAGGTGTGCACTTAGGGTACCTACAGTTTTTTTTGTATCAGTTTAGGATTTAGGTTTTAGGGATTGTACTTATCAATTTGGGGTACTAAGTGGCAGGTAGACGGATCCAAAAACATCCTAGATTTGAAGGGTTATACGACTAGACTCCCACACTAGGTCCTGATATGCCACGTTGAGCGCTGTAGCTCTCTTACCCCCTTATCCCCCCCCCCATTTGGCTGTCTCCATTGGTAGTAACACCTTTCGACACTAGGTAGGCAATAAGGGAGTAGAACACCCATATAACCCCTATACTCTATATATATATATACATATATTGCCCTATTCTTTGCTAACCCCTCTAGAGCTGTGAGCTTGGTCCATGCTATGCGCCCCTGCACTTCTGGCAATGAACCTGCTGGGCTTCGTGTTTTTGGCTTTAGGATTTAGGGTTTGGGTTTGTCCTCCTCAAATCCCAAACTGCATCGGGGTTGAACAAGTTTATGTGCGCCAGAAGCTTCATGTGAGCTGGAGTGACGTTGCGTAGATACAGCAAAAACTCTCGGCCCCTCATTCGAAAAACCCGCAACCTACCGAGTGAGTGTCCTTAAGCCTGGATCCTACCCAAACTCTAACCCGTAACCTGCAACCCCACATTGAGGGTCCGAGAACGCAAATATATTAGATTTCAGTTGCCAAAATCCGTTCGGATTATATCACTTGCGGCCCTGAAACATGCTAATGATTTGGGTATGTGGCCCTTGGGCTAGACTCTAACGCCGGCACAACTGTGGTCAAATTCTTGCGGAGGTTTGGTTTCTAAGGTATACAGACTAACCCCATACCATGGCACTCGTATTGACCATGCAGCTGTAGTTTAGAACAGTAAGCTCCTCAGGAGTCTATGCTCATGATCCTTTCCCTAATTGTCCAATCTCATTTTGGGCAGCTGCAACAGTAACAAGTGAGTAACATGTGCTACTTGGAGCCTGATATCTTTTGGCTCAATGCACGAAACCCTACGTCTAACCCCGAATGCCCACAGTTTAATAGTGAATACCCTCGAGTTCGTAGGTATGATCCATAAAGCTGAGTGTAATTGGGGTTAGGAGCCCCTAAACCCTAAACCTAATTTGGACTAATGTAGACCCATGATTAATAAACCCCCTCCTTTCAAGGGCCTACCAATCCCTATTCAGGGGAGGGGGTTTATTAATCAGGGGTCTGCATTACAGGTGAACCCTAACTCCTACAGCTAATTTGGACTACAGATGAATTCTTAAACCCTCCACAGACCCCCTAAAGGATCCAAAAAATGGAACCCCCTAATTATCCCCTAGTTTCCTCAATGTAATAATGGGTTCATATAGGGGGGGGGGGGTTCCATTTTTTGGATTCTTCAGGGGGTCTGGCTCTGCGTGGCCACCGAGGAATTTGTAGACCTCAATCAGGCGCCCCACGCGGCTATTGTTGGCTTCTTGGCTTGAGTTAGATCTTTTTAGGGTTTTGGATTTAGCGTTCAGGGTTAAGGCGCCAGGGCTTAGGGTTATTGGTCAACATGTGTTATAACATGTGTGTTTCATCTCAAAATGCAGTATGCAGTTTGAATCCGTATTGTTTACAGTATACCAATATGAGAAAACATGTAGTTTGGCAATTCGCTTTGGGTTTGGGGTTTGGGGATTGGCCTTTGACCGGGTTTTGGGTAGAAAAAAGTGGCGTGGAGTTTGAGACATGTTTGGGGTTCGGGTGTTAGGTGATTACGGGATAGGAATTCAGGTCATTTGGCCCTTTATATTTTTCACACTCAGGGAATTTCAGGGTTGTGCGATATGGAACCAGGACTTGGGTGTCTTTTGCGAATGTTGGCCCTTGCAATCTCCGCGAATGTCTGTTGTAGTGTAGCTGCTTCCAGCGCAGTTTCCGATAAGACGTAACAAGGATGAAGCTCAACAAGCACAATAACCGGTACCACAGTGACATTGCCCATGGCCCTGACACATGCTTCCGCACCTCAAAAAGTGTGGGTGAGGAAGATTGGATATCCATGTACGTACCATTTGCCCCAATGGCCTGCCTACTATCCCGGCATGACCCTATTACAAAATGCCCTGGGAAATTTGTGAATACGGCAACCCCAAAAACATGCAGGATAAGACCCTGTGTGGCTTTGTTTTCTAACGGATACTTGGCCATTAATTAGTTGACCTACTTGTGGCGTCCAGGTATTGGGTACGTGCACCCTTTGGAAATTGTTTGGCATGATATATCCAACTAGCCGAAAGACAGCAGGGACCCAATAGTAAACCCGTACCTCCTTAATGACGGGATCCCAATACAGTACCAGTACACGATATGAGCTATAGTCTAGACTTTTTATAAAGGGGGCTATATAGTGGATTTTATTTTCGCGCTTATTCAGGGGGATGCTGGGAGTTTAGACTATAGTTCACAATGGGGAGGATTCCTGATGAGAGGTGGATGGGAACCTCAACCCTAAACCCTAGACCCTAAACCCTAGACCCCAAATTCTAATTCTAGACCCTAAAGTCTAAGCCCTAAATCCTAGACTCTAAGTTCTAAACCCTAAATTCTAAGCCCTAAATCCTAGACTCTTAATTCGAAACCCTAACTTCTAAGCCTTAAACCCCAGACCCCAAACCTTAAAGCTTCAACCCTCGACCCCAAACGTTGAAAGCCACAGGCTGCTCAGACTGCCAAGCGCCGCTGGAAACCATCTTTGATTCTCTTCCAGGTGGTTTGGGCTTTTTAATTTCCCAATATTGGAGTACAACACTTTGATATTTTTGGGTTCCTGGGTTCTTATTAGAACAACTTATACCTAGAAAGTCTACACTTTTTTTCAGTGGTGTACTCCAAACTAGGGGTTTGTAGAGGGTAACGTAAACCCCTGATTAATAGGGTTGAGGGTTTAGGGTGGGCTTGTTAATTATTAGAGGGTAATGTAAACCCCTGATTACTAAGCCCCATCCCGTTAAGGGCCTTATTATTAGGATCCCTATCATAATCCCCATCAAGGGGAGGGGGTTTATTAATTAAGGGTTACATTACACGGTTTAGAGTCTAGGTTTTGTTTTTCAGAGGATCCCCAGGCTCTTGATAGAGCCAACCCTATACCCTATGTTTAGGAAGTACAATGATCGCTCTATGTAAAGCTATGGAATGCATTTTGGAACGTAAGGTTTGCCCAATTCCTTCTTTTAATGGTCTTGTTTCCATAGATCTAAGGTTGAAGGTATGGGCCCCTAGTATGGGCCCTTAACCCTGGGATCCTTCTATACCCACTATATACCCTATATGTAGCCTTTAAGGTCCCTAGAATCCCACCAAAAGGCTTAAGGGCCCATATTAGGGGCCCATACTCTTAACCTTAGAATGGAGCTGTGCCAGGAACTGGGTGGGTGCATGCAAGGCACAAGGGAGTGATCTGGGAGTTCCTGGAATTGCTCCTTCCGCCCGCGAGTGGTTTAGGGTTTAGGACTTAGAGTTTAGGATTAGGAGTTTAGGGTTTAGGATTTATTTGGGTTTAGGGTTTAGGATCTAGGGTGGTTTGTTGTCCGCTCCTTGCTGATACTCCGCACCTTAACCTGGCTCATTGCTGCACATAGCTTGTTTAGTTTTCTCCCTTACCTGGATCAATGTTAGGGATCCTTTATACTTTTTGGGGTGTGGGATTCCTTATATTTCTGAAAAAAGGATCCTTTTTTCTTCCTGGGGTAATGTGGGCTAAGTTACAACCCAACAGAACTCTGACTCCATCTTGTTTAGGTAGCGTCCAAGAACCAGCAACTTTCGGACTGCCCGAAACCTCGAAGCCTAAATTCCAACCCGTCAGACCCGCATCCCCAGCCCTGAAAGTCCCACTGGGTTTAAGCTTTGAGTCTTAGGGGCTAGGGCTTAGATTCCCATACCCCAGACACAACCAAGTTGTAGACCTCAGCTTGTACAACTGGACCCAGGTGACATTTTCGCGTTCAAAAATGCGGGCAACACTTGCATTCATGACGCCTGGTTTGAAGTTCATTTGAATTTGTGGGTTTCCATACTCCCACCCGGGTACGCATTGGGTCGAGGTAGTGAAGGGGTGGTAGGGGAACCCATGAATCATGTTTCTTGCTATCTTTGTGCCTTAGCTGTCGTGATCTCCTCTCTTCACAACCATTGACAGGATGTATACAAAACAGGATTGATCCTAAGGGTCCAAGTCTCAAAAACCACATACTTCTCGAATACCAAAACTCCACATGCAGGGTTTAGGGTTTGGGGTTGAGGGTTGAGGGTTCAGGATTTGGGGTTGAGTGTTTGGGGTTTCTCCATTGCCCCCCAATACTAAAACCATCGGCCATCCCGCAAATATCAACTAACACCATTGTGGCCTATCATTGTATTTTGAGAAAATGTAATTTCAGGGGGTGGGGCTTTTGAATGTTTGGGTGAGGGATTTGAAACCTCAAGAATGTGCAACAATATCCACCCATTAACCCCCGCAGCAAAACCCTGAATAAATACGATTATTACAGACCCTACCCTAGACCCTAAACCCTCAACCCTGGAGAATGTTCTTAGAGGTTTCAAGTTTATAATGCAGACAATGTTGGGACACAAGAAGCGTCTCCTTAGCCTAGAAACGGAGGTGGAGGCCTTACATTTGCAAAGAACTAGCTCGCTATGGTTGTTAGAGTCTTCCCAAATTTCTTTCTGCCTATATGAGCTATAGTCTAAATTTCCTAGGGGGTTATATAGGCGAAGATACTAAGCGGGATACTAGGAGTTTAGACTATAGTTCAAATATGTCATGTCTACACCTCTCCAGTCAGAGTATGCCTCCCGTCTTGATGAAGCCACGCCCACGGGAAAACGAACCTTGAAGCTGATTACGTTGTCTTTCCCAGGATATAGGGGGGGGGGCACGACACCTGTTGAACCTCAAGCCAGGGCTCTTCAACATCTTACCACTACATTCAGAGAACCCTGCTGTCCAAGTCCTCTAAGTAAAGGTGCCCCAAGTTCCCTAAACCCTGAAGAGTAGTTTCCACTTTATTTTCCCCAATATAACCACAACATTACACCTAAACCCTGAACCCTAATCCATTTTATGTTCCATTATCCCAATATAACCCTAATGTTACTCCTAAACCCTAAACCCTACACCCTAAACCCTAAATCCTACACCCTAAACCCTGAACCCAAAACTCTGAACCCACCGAGCTGAATGTGAGGCCAATGGCAGCATGGTAGCCAGCCTTGAGTTCTGCACAGAGCCACGGCTGTCACAATCGAACCTTATACTTGGAGGCCCATGGGACTTAGTAACTACTTATATCTGGGATTATAACCCTACTTATACTTGGGGTAACCCCTATAAGCCCATTCAGGGGGATTATAAGTAGGGTTATAAGCCCAGTTATAAGTAATTACTAAGTCCCATGGGCCTCCAAGTAAGGGTCCTTGTACCCAACAACTGGGTCCCCTTTAAAGGGGGTATATAGGGATCTATATGGATGTTTAGGGTTTAGGGATAAGGGTCCATTTACCCAATAGTTGTTTATTTGGGATAAGGGTATTAATAGTAATTGTAGTGCAGGTTTGGGATAAGTATATGATACTTGGGCACTTGGACCCTTAGGGTGAAGCAGTTGTGAAGGGTATCACATGCGTACTTCAGGACCCCACGATTTCCGTACAGGGTTTAGGGTTTAGGGGCCCAAAGTTCCAACTTTGGAGGCGAATTATGGAGCTGTCTGGGCAAACCCTAAACCCTAAACCCTGGGGTAATTGGTTTTCCATGTTGGCTTAGGGGATGAGACCAAGCAAAGGCCTGAAGATCCGTGTTTAGGGTTTAGGGTTTAGGGTTAATCAGACATCACTGATGGATTTAGACTTCAAGGGGTTGCAGAATGAAGCTACCATTGCAAGCACCCAATGATCAACTACCTGCCTGCATTATTGTAACAAACTGGGGTGAAAGCCATTAACATTCATGTGGTGCCTTCGAAATCCTCTCCCAAACCCTGTAATTAGTGGCTTATCATCGTGCCTTCTCTCATCGCCGGAGACCCATAGATGACCTTTTGCCAGATATGAAGCTCCATTTGAGTAGTATTATCTGGGGATACTATGGTACCCAATACAGAGTAAGATTATATCCTCCTTTTGGGGTATAATATTTTATATAAGGAATATAATCTTACTGGGTTTAACCGCCAAAAAAAAGCTACTCATTTTGAGTTCCTAGGCACAGCTGGGGTGCCGTTTCATCCTCGTCCTGGGGCACAAAAGATGTGGCGCTACTTGGACGGAACTGGCTTCGACGAGATAGCTGCTTTCAGGATGGAGAGCATCATGATCTGGAGCAGTAGAGACGGTATCATATTGTTTAGGGATTATATTGGGTTTAGGGTTTAGGGATTGTATTGGGTTTAGGGTTTAGGAATCATATTGGGTTTAGGGTTTAGGGTTAACCCATATAAACGTTTATACTCGTTTATATTCGTGGTAGTCGGCGTCGTCATGTTGTCATAGCGAGGAGCAAATGGTGGACGGGCAGGAGGAAGGCTTCTGGGACAATCTCCGGACCAACTCTAGAACTTTACCCTGAGGGTCCAAGTATCCAAATATTGGGGTTTTAGGTACCAAAAACCATTCGGATTATAGTATTTGGGACCTAAAACCTAATTATTTGGGTACTTAGACCCTCTAGTTAGTCATTCGTCGTTCGGGTTTTCTGTAAGTAAGCAGTTAACCTCCAGAAGCCCCAGGTTCTTGCAGTTAAATACAGATAATATGGTATTGTTTAGGTCTAGGTGGACCCACCACTCAATGATAGTGATTATAGGGACAATAGCGATTCTATTAGGGTCCTCTTCTATTCCTATTATACTACCTCTAAGGCATTGATTTCAGGGTGACAGACGCAGGATATACAAAGTATACTTACCTGTGGTTAATAGGGAATAGGGGAATATGACTTTCATGGGAACTCTAGTCTACACTCCTAGTAACCCCCATAATAGCCATAATAATGGTCCCCTAGTTATTCCCCTGTGAAACCCGCTTTAAGGAGTTTAGATTCCAGCTCATGCAATTATAAACGCTGTCGCGCGCCTGTCCCGGCTGGCAGGGCCCGGAGCACACGAATGGGTCACGGTATGTAGTTCACATGCGGGTTGGGGTTTAGGGTCGAGGGAGTAAGGGAGGAAAGCCTCACGTCAGACGTGTTTGTTGCATGCCTGTTCCAGCATTCATGCAGGGGTTGGGTGGGCTTAGTCCATCAGCCTCTTACTGATGGAGTTCGCAAGCTTCGGGAGCTCAACCGTAGAAGCGGCCTCAAGGAGCAGGGGTGCCTTTCAGGGTCAAAAAACTGTATGTCCCCAAGCGCAATCCGCCGCTACTCCCCGGATCCTGAATTTTTCTGACCGTAGAAGAAGGCGGTCGACATACACAGGGCCAGAAGGCAGACCCGCCACGTAGCAGAATCCTTAGTATACAGCGTCTCGTTTCTCCTTCACATCATCCACATAGCGGGTGATGAAAATTAAGAAATACCCGAAGACGGGCATGCAATAGATTGTATGATTGCGGCGTCCTTGTTATCATGAGACAATTAAACCAAGTGCGCAAGCACCATTTTTCTGAATTCTGGAGGGGAGGTTTGCTCCGTATTGCCAAATGGAATTTGACGTGAAGTTGCTAGGCCACCCACCGTTAGAAGGCGGTGGAGTGGGGTTTTGAGGCCTCGGCGAATTCCCAATTGAAGTCTTCCCTTATTACCCACCCTCGCAGTGGGGTTGTTCGATTTTAAGGTAGATGTTGTCCTCGCCCGACTGGAAGCTGACTTTAGGGACCAACCACCAAGTATCCCTGCAGTGCCCAACCACCAAGAATATCCCTGCAGGGCCCAACCACCACGTATCCCTGCAGTGCCGAACCGCAG